CACGGGAATCGTACAGAATTTAAATATCAAATACTTCTGCTTGCATTTTTATTTATTCATGGGGAATTTTTCATTCTTGACATATCAACTGATACTATATGCTCTTGTATTTCAGGAAAGAGATTTCAGGTTAAATAATGGCCATACCTACCACAAAGAATTACCACCTGGTCCTAATAAGTGACAGGGGAATAGCTTCCTTCTCTATTTTTATAGCACAGTTTTCTTGAGGCAATTCATAAAGGAGATGTAAGATGTGTTTTACACCATAGAGTACATCAAATATTGAACAGTGGTGTAGTGTTATGTCTGCACGTAACATACAAATTGTCATAAAGACATGAAAGATACTGCTTAAAAATTGAAAATGTACCTAAATGACTAAATGCACCTGAAGCACTGTGTAAAGTACCTCTCTCTTTCAAAGGGATCTTGTTACCCAAGCACAAGTGAACTGTAAATGACTGGTGACACCAAGTATGGTTAATAATTTTATGAGTTAATTATGTAATGGATGTATAAAAAAGTGTTTAGTCCAGCTAATTAAAGGCCTAATCACAAGAGCATAAGTTCCCCACTGCTGAATGTCAAATGTACATATGCAGATTAACACAGGGAATGATGCAACTTACAAGACAAACAGAAGTAAAAACTAGGAAAGTGTTGTTTGCAACTGTTTTTTACTAGTCCATTAGCTACTACTGCTTCTTGATGCTGAATCAAAGCGAACAAGTCGAAAGGCTTTCTACAATTGGAAGATAAGAAATGCAGGAGAAACATGGAAGAATTTCAAATAAATTAACACGATAATTTCTAAAAGGCTCCTTTGGCAGGCCCCTCAAAGTGCTGGCAAGAGGTTGAAGTTTTGACTCTTTATCAGGGCTTCACATTTTCCTAGTACCATACTTCAATATAATTAATTAATGTGAGTAGATTCTCATGATAGTTGAGACAAAGTCATTAAGAGTATATCAGTGTATTTTGTGCGAGGTCCTATTATAAAACCTGTTATAGCACAGATGGTTTGTAAAAAGATTTTTCTAGGGACTAGATAGACATAAACAGAGGCAACATCACATTGCACAGTAAATTGTGAGAAGGGATGAGACTCAGATTCCAGCTGGACATTTCAACTGTTATGAGCAACGTGGCACTCTTTCTGACTGTCTCTTGGCTCACCTCATGTACTTTGCCAGGAGGAGACGTAAAGCCATATGGCCTGTCAGGCACCACTCTGTTGTACCTTCTGCAGTGTTCCTGAAGCTGAAAGACATCCTTTAACTGTGCAGATAAGTACAAGGTAGCTAACCTGTACTAAGAAAGGGCAAGTTACCTCTCATTACTGTCATTTAAAATATCTGACAATGGATCTGCACCACAGACTGGCATATGAGCTGTATTTTCACCTCCTATATAAATTGTTTGTATTCCTATACTTGGAAAGTGTCTAGCTTACCATAAAACTTTGGTAAGAAACATAATACTATAAAATTTGTATACTCAGCAGGTACAATATTTTTCTGTGAGAGTTATCTAAATATTCTCTGGACTGATTACTAACTAACTTAAACCAAGGAAAATACTAGACAACAGAGTAATTTTCAACAAAAAATTCCATTTAAGGTACAAAAAAGTCTGTAAAAAAGTATAAGCAAAGCAAGTAATTTAGCATAGAAATTACAGGTTACAATGAGAAGAGCCTTACTAATGATAAAGTGACCCAAAAGAAGAGCTTAAGCTATTCATAGAATCATAGAATAGTTAGCACTGGAAAGGACCTTAAGAGCCTGGAAAGGACCCCTGTCATGGGCAGGGACACCCCACACTAAACCATGCCACCCAAGACTTTGTCCAACCTGGCCTCGAACATTGCCAGGGATGGAGTATTCACAACCTCCCTGGGCAACCCATTCCAGTGCCTCACCACCCTAACATCTGCTTTGTTGGTCTTAAATAGCATGTCTAAAAACTGGAGGCTGTGGAGTCCTTTTGGAGATCCAGTTACAAATCCGGCAGTTTCCTGACCATATGTCATGAATAGACCAGAGCACAAACCAACACTTTAGCTCAGTTGGTGTAGATCTCAACAGACAGCATTGCTACGCATGTGTCTTTCTCTTGGTACAATTTTCAGTGTCAGTATAAATACACTGTACTATAGTAATGAATGCAACCTTGGTTTTGTAAGACCTGGAGCCGTAATTTTACTTGACACCATTCAAACATGTAACCACTGAATCATCCAGTGGTCTAAGCTATTTCTTTTTTACCATATTTTTTCTTCACTCCTCCTAGATTTTGATGTGTTTCAAGATGTCTTAATGATGTACTTTACAGAAATAACTTGCACAATAACTCACAGAATTGAGTACCTGTTATCAAGAGTGCACTGGAGTTTTTCCATCTCCCTGGATGATCATATAGCCATCTTTCTCGCAGCCCTACACCTAATTCTTTACATTATTTTGCAGTTAAAGTTTTAATCAGATCCTCTTTAAGACTGTCTTACTCATGCATGGCACAATTCCAAACACCAAAAAAAGAAATTTTAGTTGACATAAAATTTAGCATCAACAGCAATTTAAACAACAAAGAGACCAGCGTATTTATTGCCTTGTAAAACCATGCATGTCCTCTGAAATACAGATAAAATGCCAGTGGTATTACATGTATAGGAAATGAATTGTCATCCACCTAAATGTACAATCATCCTTTCTTTTCAGAATGTCCCGGCTATGCATATAAATTTGTAGTGTTGGGTTTTTTTGGTTTGTTTTGGGATTTTTAATTATTAAACTTTTCAAAGAAGTTAACAGAGAAAAACATTTTAAAGTTGTTAAGTAGGCATAATAATTTCCTTCTTTTTAATATTAAAACTTTCTTCTCACTGCTTCCCCCACTATTTATTTTCATCCCTTTCACTCAGCAGACACGCATAACTGCTTCAGCATGCAGCACTAGTGGAGGGACAAAGAGCACTTTTTATCAAGTCCGGGACTTTCCAGACCATATTTACAACAGGAAAAAATATTTACTGATGTCAGCAAACGTGGTATAGAAAAGCCCCCACCCCTTCTCTCAGCAGAGATCTCCATGTTTTTAGCTAGGCAAAAATGTGTCTTTCAGTGCTCTACCTTGCACAAGAAATTTTTTTATAAGGGAAGGCAGGAATAATACATTCTGAATTTCAAGAGCCTGTTAATATCCTTGATTACCAATAGTTCAGGTTTATACTGATGGCACTGGTAGATATGAGTACCTGTAGTAAGAAATATTAATCAGTAACAAGGAATATTTTAATAGGCATTCAGTGCTGTATGAGGATTTTATAAAAAGTAAAGAAGATTTTTCTATTAATATAAGAAAGAATAAAGGCAATACAGCCTGAAAAATAAGAGGATAAAGAAAAAGAAATAATGTAAATACAATATTGCAATCTAGCAAACTTCCACTCTCCAGACACTCTGCACCAGCTGCACACCAAGAAGTTTATAGATGTTCACCCTTATGATGGTAACATAAGAACACATGTTTTCTTCAGGCCTTTTATGTTTTTAGAATATTAACCTCTAGTGTGACGCCTTTAAGTCAATCTCAATATACTCACATACATTTTCATTGCTGGATTCACTCAGCAGGAATGGTGTCAGCAAACAAAATACCATATCTATTTTTGTCAATGTGAATGTCTGCCATAGACGCCTCACCTTTTTGCAATTACTAACCGAAGTGGAAGGTTTTAATAGTAGAGCTATTGGATGAGACAGAACTGCGTTCCATAAACACACTGGGCAAGTACAATATGGCTAGAACAGGTGTTAGCTTAATTTTCCTCATCTGTCTCTATCTGCTAGCAGGTCTGGTTACCTTTGCACACTCATTTGATGTGGTCATTCAGGGAAATCAGTGCAGATGGTGTGTCACTGTATGCACTTGGCAAAGATTTTTTACAACTTGAAGCAGCTATCTCCAGCCAGTATGAAAGCTCGGTGTAGATTAAAACTAGAGTTAAATTAACACTATTCGTGAGCGTAGCCTCGGCACATGAGTAGGTAAAACACAGCTTAATCCAGAAGTGAAAAAAAAAAAACAACAAAGAAACGCGGAGTTTAAGGGGCGTCTCCTCAAATTTATACAGCTGTTGGGAACTTAGACATACCTGCTTGTATTATTTTTCATCTTATTCCCAGTCAATATATATTGTTTTCTAGCATATCTAGAACATTGCTTTGTACTAACTTTCTGGCCAATATTCTTAAAAAGCAATGAATATCTTCAGTACTATCCTAGTACTGAAAATATAAAAAATATTATTTCATATTTATTTATATAGTAAGTATGATTTGTGCTAAAAAAGCAGCATAACGTGCTAAACTTAAAGGAAGAAACTCATGAAAAGCAGAGCAGATAAGTACAGGATTTTTTATTTCTATTTCATTTGGAACTCTGATCTGCTGTATTTTATATTTTGCAAAATATTTGCCACCATTTTATACGAGGGCTGGCAGTATGATCATTTTCCACTAGAATTTTGTAATGACCAGGAAAGCAGTTGGATTCTTGTTTTATTTTGTTTTTTTTTTTTACATTCTGCTACTCCAGCTGTTTGCAATATATGCTGATGCAGCTGCACTGCAAGACTAATGGGAGCAAACCAGTTCCCACTGAAGCAATGGAAGACTGACAGAACTTGTGAGAATATGATGATTATTTTCCCCACCAAAACTGTTATTGAAACATGTTTTGCTGATTTTTATTTTTTTTTTAGTTTGTTTTGTTACAGCTACCTCAAAGATTATAGTTTTCCATTAAACTGTTTTAAATATTTGTAGGAATTTCTACTTTCCCTGCCCTCAGCTAATACTGAATCATGCTCTTCTAATCCATTGTACACATTGTTTTTTTGTTTGAGTATGGTGATGAATTTTTTTTCTGACTCTTCAGCAATAATATTCATAAATCTAAACTGATGTACATAACAGTCAATAAAGAACACTCACCTACTGTCAGTTGTCCAGTTAACTGTCCCATGTGATTTCTTGCATTCACTGTTACATTTCTGTCAGACTGTAAGACCAGTGGGCTATCCTGGGAAACATGTATAAGACAATAAATGAGAGAACAAAAAATTGAGGTAGAATTAAGTCAGAACTAAATATAAACATGCATGCCGAGAGGGGAGTTCTGTCAAACATAATAGCCTCTTTAATGATTTCACAAAGTATTTTACAAGTCAAATTTTTATGTAAAAGAATAACAAGATTGCTGTCTTGAGCTTAAAATCTTTGTGCATAGAATCCCTGCTTTAGAAATCAGAGCTGAACTTAATTTATACAAAATACATTTTGTTTCCTCAGGATATTACAAAGTTACAAATTCAAAAACTTTAATACAAACCTGGTTAGCCTTTTCCACATATTGCTAACATACACTTTTCTAACTACTTAACCAACACTATACTACATTATTCTATTAACCTGCATGACCTACAGTGTTAGGATTGCACTTACTAAAACCTTACAAAGACAGCCATGCATTTCTTTGAAGGTAAGAGGCATTATTCTCGAAAAAGCAAAGAAAGAGAGCACTGGGAGGTGAGGTCCTATAACAAACAACCCTGACCCACCCACCAGTAGTACCTGACAGGTGCTACTAGCGATTGTCCTAGGTTCATCAGTGATCAAGCTGATGCAGAACAAAGATAAGTATGGTATGACGTTAAGTACAGTCTTAACATTTTTGGAGTCAGTTTGCAGCATGACTACATTGCTATCAGCATCCTACTGTATTTAAGCATTCCAGGAATGTTTACATATATATGCGTAAGCATATCCTGTGTTCAAAGCCAGCTTAAGGAATCTGAGAAATGAAGACAGAACTGAATTTTGCTTCCTGAAGAATGAGGAGCCAGATCCACCCACCAGGGGAAGGACAGATGCAGGGGAAAAGGGAAGAGCTTCAACAGATAGCCATGAGAAACCCAGCCTAAAAAAAGAGAGCTTACTTATCATGCTGTCATTGGAAGGTGATGAGTACATGAGAAGCGGGAAAATTTGGCGGTTGCTGCTACTGCAGAGGCACTTTCCTCCATAGAATCACCTTATACCACACTGTACTTCCCCTGAAGCTTGCAGTGAGACCTTAGGTATGTTAATGCTTCTGGCAACTAAGCATAGGTAAAACACCTGACAAAAACAGCTGGGAAAGTGCCTTAGCTAGGAATGACTAAGGGCCTGGTAAAAAAAAAAAAATAAAAATCTGAAAATCATTATATACTCATTCTTAGGTTCTTCCCTGGGCATCCTGCACTGAGCATATTAGGTTAGATAGGCTACTTTGTGTTTATATGTGAAGATATTGGTTCTTCCTGTTCCTGAAAGTTTTACAAGATAAGAAAGGAGTTAAGGAGCCATACATAAAGATTTATTTTTACCTGAATGATTCATTAGCTTTGCACTTAATTTTTCTACACGTTAAAATTCACTCCTTTGAATCCAGGCCTTGCCTCTGCCAGAAACACTCTTCCCAGTTGTTTTCACTATGATTAACTTTAAATGACAATCAGTTCCCCGGGAAGTTTGAAATTATTCTGAGCTAATTTCTAAGAGTTCAGATGTGTTTCATCTCTTGCTGGACCATGCTATGACCTCTCTAACATCCTGCCAATTAGCTCTGCATCATGGAATCTGGCAGATGAGAATCACTTGTCCATCTTCCTATATAAGAAGCTGTAATTATCAGTGAGACACTGTGTTCAGTGTGACTGGTTTGAGCTAAACGTGATGCAATCAAGGGAGCTTCTGGCAACAAAAGCAGCTGCTAAGGACCTTTTTCTCAACTCTTGATTTGATTTTCACTTTTCTTATGGTCCTTTGAAGATCATTAGTCCAGGCAACTGCTGCTCTGGGAAAGAAGGTTGTCCTGATAAGAGAGCTGTGTGGCCGAAATATGTTTTTAAGGAGCCCTTTTCCCTCTTGCTTAACCACTATTCCGCTAAGAGTCTTCTCAGAATAATCTCACCCTTAGCAAGGGAGGGTACTCCTATGCCCATTTTCGCCAGCTCAGCTGTTTGGCAATTTACACTTCCAAGCACTATCCATGGTCTAACCTGAATGTTTCTTTCCTTTCACCTTAGGAAAATACTTAACAAGATTCTCAGGTTTCTTGTGCTCAGGCTCTAATTATAAATAAAAAGCTTGGATATCAAATTCTCAGGTATGGGATAATGAAAATTAGGTGAGCCAAGCCTTCTTTCTTCTCCTTTCTTTGTCTTATTTAAAGATAAAAAGAGGGATGAAGAAGTTAAGAACTTAAATCTATATTCCTTAGTTTCTGGATTTCAAATATAAAGTTGCACTCTTAAATTCTGGAAGAAAGAAAACCCAGTGGCAGAACTCTAACAATTTAAGCAGCCCAGCATTTTATCTACACTGTTTACCTGCAGTTCTATTTTCCACAGGAAGTGCCTAAGGACAGGTTCAAGATAGTCAAAGGTAGTCTGCTCAGAGGAGCTAGTAACTCAGAGGATACTTAGCTAGAATTAAAGATCTGTAAGATGAGTATAAAACTGAAATAAACATCAGTCATATGGACACAAATATATCTGTGGTATAAAAACATTGGATAATTTTCTCTCTGGATCACCAGATCTGTTACTCTTTCTGATGTAAATTTCAGCATGCAATTTAATAGACTTGATAATCCACAAAGTATTTGATATAACGATGTCAGAAGGGAGATAGAAGTGTGTTATCACACTGTTTTTCTGGAAAAAGGGGGGATTATTAAGCTCTTCAAATACTGTAAGTATTTGTAAATAAGTAACATTTGTTCTGAAGTCAGACAAGCCTAGGATCAAGCATGTTTATTTTCTTGATATAATTTTCTAGGCTGACATCACCCAATAGCTGATAAAGTATGAAAAAACCCCAGCTAGTACTAAGTACCACTCTGTTCCAGCTGAAACCAGGACAATTAATTAGGATAATTTCTGTATATATACTTAACAAAAAAGGCTTTAGGTTATACCTGACAAAAAAGCCACACCTTAAAAAATGGGCAAAGTTCTCTTACTGCTGTTGCTGGCATTATACAGCTGTATATCAGATCTTCCATTTAGAGATGAGCATAAAGACCATTTTCCCATTACACATAATAAAGTAATGTAGTGCTGTTTTTCCTTTACATGTAATAAGATAATGTGGTGCTATAAAATGAGTTCCATGTATTTCTGTAGCTCAGCATTATCAGTATCAGGAACAGACATGCTTCATATTTAGAACATAATTGTATACATGCAGTGTTAGCATTAGCATGAGCAACTCCAAGGAACACCCCTGAAGAGGTTCTTCATCACCTATTATCAGTTCTTGACACAGAGTTAACTTGAATGCATGAGAAAATGAACTAAAAAGGCATATCTACCCTACCCATCCCACCTTTCTACCTCTGGAAAATGTCATGCCATTCTTGTGGCCCCAGTCCTGTGAGCTGAAAAGCAGTTCTTGCTGCCTAAACTTGCAGCATGGGACACTTGAACAGAGTTTCCTGAAGTACTGAAAACTTAGACCACTTTCAGATTATGAGTATTATTTGGTCTTGGAGCAAAGTAGTCCCTAAAATCCAACTGTAACTGGAAAGCTGACTTTTTTCCTCCCCCTCTCTCTTATGGTAATTCAGATATTGCTCCTGTTTCCTCATTTTGCATTAGCATACACACAACCATGGCTTCTTTCCCACTCTTTGTAAATCTGACTTGAACTGCAAGAATGTGTGATGCATTAAGCACAGCAGTTAGTGTGCTATATAAATTTGCTCTAAAATTACCTGTATTTGTTAAGCATTTTCAGGAATAGTTTAATGTCTACTGCAAAGCCAGTGAAAAATGTGGAACAAGTCATATTGTTTATGTGAAGACTTTGTGAGTATTCTTCACACACACCAATGGCAGCTAGCTCCTTAGCGGACAGCTTCTTTTCTCAGCTATATTGTCCGTTCACAGGACAATGCAAATCTTGCTTTGTAAACACATGTAAAAACCCCAAAAGAACAAAGAATTTCAGATAGTGAAATTATATTAGTTTTTGTTTTTTTTTTTTTTCTGGAAATGATTTCTGAACTCAATAGGGAACATTCTTCAGCTGTGCAAAATAAAATTCTGAACAATGTCTTGAAAAGGTCTATTTTTTAAAAATCTAAAACTTTTAAAAGAACTCATCTGTGGCAAAAGACTTTATTTGAGGGACGCTACTTTCTGTGTTTTTTCCCCATCCTTAATGAGTCATATGTAACAGAGTAAGAAGTTTTCACTTCAAATATCATTTCTCCTAATTTAAATTCTGTACTGAAGTATAATTCTTTATATCTGATGCATGACACCTTGACACAGAAATATCTTTGATGTTATTAATTTGTTAATTATTTCTTAAAAAACAGAGGTGATTTTATATGAAGCATAGTAGACTATATATACACACCTTCTCATTAACAGACCACTTGAACTTTCTATTCCTGCATTGCTATCCAAATGTGGTCTTCAGAAAAGAGGTAGTAAAATTTTTGTGATACCATTTCAAATATTATACTGTATATAACAAAAATCAACATAGTAAGAACATTCTTTCTTACAAGCACATAGAGCTTTTAATAATAACAAAATGCTAGCAACTAAAGTATTATAAAGGGATACTCTTAGGCCCATGAGGGCATCATCAGCCCTTACTGGCCCTGCCCAACCCCCTGGCACTTCCCCACCACTGGGGGAGGGGCATTTCAGTCCAGCTCCACTTGAACTCCTCCTGGCAGGGTGGTTTTGGTTGACCTCTTCTTACCCCTTAGGGAGCAGCCAGCCCTTGCTGCTCCCTGACAGATATGAGGACCTAAAATGCTAGCAGAAGCTCATGAAACAATATGAGATGACTCATGTTGCAAGCCCCAAAATATTACAACTTCAGGATTTTCAGTAGCATATTAAAGATAAAGCAGATGAACATGATGTTACTATAGTATGTTTAGACCTTATAGCAGCCTTCCACTATCTGAAGGGGGCCTATAAAGATTCTGGACAGGGACTATTCATTGGGGACTGC